CAGTCCAATTCATAATTTGAACATAATATCGATAAATTACGATATTTTCATTTGAAAATCAAACGTCACAAAATCAGCTGAAAGATAAAGGGTCATTTGCTGCTCCGAGTATGAGGATACTTCTCTTGCCTTCTGTGACTTAATTACGTCGTTATCTGTTTCCAGCATACCTTAATACTAGCTGTTATGTTTTAAATATTAACATGTATTGCAGAATACGTGTCTGTTAGTCCGTTCTTTAGACACGGGGATTTAAACACGTTATATATGGTACTAGCTAAATGATGCAATAACAAGTCATATCTCAATGGTTATTATCGGATTGTGTCATATGAGGATTGATATGTCACAGATTATACATTACGATTGCAATAGGACTGAACAGAGATTGTTTCTCTGTAATCACAATAATGATCGATATACTGAAGGATTCAAATTATAGTTTTATTATAGAAATATTTGGGTATATTTATTTCTATAATAAAACTGTAATTTGTATCTTTCAGTATATCGATCATTATTTGTGATTACAGGGAAACAATCTCTGTAACCGAAATATATCTTTCCATGAACTTGCAAATTTAACTTATAAAATGAGAAATATGCGGTTATGTTTAAAAGTATTTTTTTTTACGGAAATACCTCTTACAAACATGGATTCCTGTCCAGGGCAGCAGGAGCCCTATGTAGGGTTGGATCATACAAGTATGGGATTTCAGTTGTTGTTGTTGTTGTTGCTAGTGTTGTTGTTGGTGGTGGTGGTGTTTTCATAACAAGGGTCAAAGACAACTCATTCACTCACACATCCACATTTTTATATCCACAATCAAATAAACAATGAAAGTACAATGTTTTAATTCAGAAATATGCTAATTTATCCAGACAGACTAGGAAACACTCATCGCCAATGTATTATTTTCTCACAGTACTCGTCGAGGTCATAAATTTTAAATGGAAAGATATATTTCGGTTACAGATGCAAAACCAGAAATACATTTAGGCTAAAAAAAAGTAATTATAAACGCATTGCAACTTGGCAGTTTTTGTGGGACACAATTCTTTTCAACGGTTTTGATATAAAATACGGGTGTTTAGGGTTTTCAGTGTTCGATGGTTCAATAATTGTTTTCAGCCTAGAAACGTTTTAGAAACATTTGCATCTTTTCGGTAAAATTCAAATGTGTGATGTTTACTATATTTTGCTTAAGATATGATAGCAGCTGTTAAGTCATTAGTATATATTTGAGACTCGAGTTGAGAAAGGTATGACTGGTTTTATTCCTAGATCCAATGTGTAACTTTGATATCGTGCTCGCTTGGTTAAAAGATAGTGATTATTTTAATGCTTACAAAGAGATCAGCTACTATTCCATTCTCAGTGGGGACCAGTTATTGTTTAAACCAGTCAGATATCTCAGTAACTAATAGCATGGACCCTTGAATATCAATGTGAGACTGGCAATTTAACACTACCCCGCACACAGACGGACATGTCTGTGATGATCTTTCCTAAGGACGGTTAAAGTTTGAAAAGGCTGTTTGGCATATCTCTGTCAAGCCTCGTCTTCAGTGTTCAACTACCTGTCACTCAATTGGTTGGTCATTTTTTTCGAATTGCACGCACTATTGTCAGACATTCTTGTACAAAAAGAAGTTGTTAGGAAGACCTTCTGAATATCTCTCTTGGATTGTGTCACTCGGCGAGTTGATCCAGCGTTAAAGACAAGCGCTTTGTTTTAAGTAGTTATGGCGGTTTAAACGTCATTAATATTCCAAAATCTGACGTTAGATAACCGAGAATACAAATCTACGTTAAATACATTTCTCTTTGACATAACGGGGAGATAAGATTGTGTTTAGAAAACCAATCTGCTCCGGTGTTTTATCTTATTTATAGTTTTGCCGTTCTCCATAAACAAAGATTATGATATTATTTCATATCAACATGAGACTGGGCATGTCATACCAGTGGAGACATCAAGGTGCCGGGGTGGTAGGGTGGGGTGGTGGTGGTTGTGGCCTGTGTGTGACATTCAGTCTCATGGAGCATTGCAGTGTGAGTAATGAGAAGTTTAGGCCACACCTGAGCACAACTGTAATTTAAACAACTGACATGCTTGACATGTATACTTCATGCTTATCAGTGAGCGAGTGAGTTAGTGAGATGGGTTGAGTGAGTGAGTATGGTTTTACGCCGCTTTTAACAATATTGCAGCAATGTCACGACTGGGGACACCAGAAATGGGCTTCACACATTGTACCCATCTGGGGAATCGAACCCGGGTCTTCAGCGTGACGAGCGGACACTTTAACCATTAGGCTACCCCACCGCGCCTAGTAAGATGGAAATAACGGTACGTTGAGCAGAATTCCACGGACGGTTGTGTACTGAACAAAAACAGTTAGGGGTCATGAATTATATTTATATGTGAAAATATTAAATTAGATCTTCGGTCTTCATTACATTTTTATCTGTTAAGTATATTAAGGGCATAACGCCCAGTGTCTTTGTGTGTTGTTTAAATGCATTCAGCAATTGTCCAACTATATGACGGTCGTTTGTAAAGAATAGTTTCTGGAACAGAATATCCAGTGATCGATATCATGAGCACTCATGTACGCAGTTGGAATACGATGACATGTGTCAACTGAGTCTGACCACCCGATCCCGTCAGTCGCCTCTTACGATAAGCATGGGTTGCTGGTGACCAGTTCCTACCCGGATCTTCATGCCCAAAGGGTCATAGGCCACAGTCGCATGTAGTGAAACCCTTGAAGACAGGTACGGCGCTGACACGATCCTAATATTGGCGAAATGTGGATTCGAACGGAACCAGTATAAACGTATCACGCAATTTGGTCAATGAGACAAATATACAATTTTCTATAAGTGTCATATGTGAACTCCAATACAGTTCCAAATGATGTTGTTGATAAGTGGTAATGCCTTACGAATAAGCTACTGTATTTCCTGATATGTATCTGGTCCATGTATAGTGTAACAGCCGCTAGGTTCTATTTTAAAAGAGTTTCAGCCTTATCGCTAAATCATTAGTATCAACACCTATGGGAATATCGCCGACGCTTATTGTGTAGTTGTGTGGGGTTGGTGAGGCTGCCGTTCATGTGGCAGCCGTGTAGAACACTATCCCATCCCACGAGTATGGCTGTGGTCAATCACCTGCCAGGTAATCTCAGGTGAGTGATTCTGAACAAAAGCTGAGGTGGTATCAAGACAGTCAGTGAGTAAACTGGAGAAGTGTCACATTAAATAACTATGCGACTCTCGAGGATAATTGTATTTCATATATCATCAGGGCCCCGTTCCTCAAAGCGATCGTAGCGCAAAGTTGATCGTAACTCCCATACTTTAACATAGACTTACGTCTGTTGTAGCGTTACGATCGCTTTGAGGAACGGGGCACAGAAACGTAACTTACAATCAGCTTATTCTTCAATTCTTCAATTCTTCAAACTTGGTTTCGGTCTTTCCCCCGTAGCTTGACTAGTTTACAAACTGCAGGCGAATATATTACTCATATAATGAACGGACGAGTTCGAGCAGTATTTCAGTCATATCAGAAAGTGTCAGTTTTATGTGCTTGAAATAATGGAGACCTCAGTTGCCATGTGCCTTTCGTATTCATGGGTTTGGTGTGAAGAAATCTAGAAACATTTTGAAGGAATATAGGATTCGAACCCACGCTAAGAGTACCGCAACGCCTAAAGTCCGCAATCGACGACAGCACCATCCGTGCCTCAACATGGCTATATCGCTATATACCAGACTGGTGGATATATTAATGTAGCTGAACAATGCTGAGTGATACATGTAGGTAGTAGATGTTGCCAGCAGTGGATGTGTACAGTTGCACCAGTAAGCGTTCACGTGTAGCGTAAGAGTCTGAAGGTTCCGTTACAGTTGAAAACTAACACACTTTCAATATAGTCAAGGTTTAGTGCTTGCGTTATCATTGGAGGCAAGTGTGTAACACGAAAGTGCACTCATTGTCATAGAAGGCATTGCATGTGTTATACGGGTATAAGTTTATTAAATACACTGTATGTTGTAATGAATAGTCAAGCACGCTAAAGTAGCACCTCATATCTAGGAACAACCGCGGATAGAGATATGAATTAATAGTATATAAATGATTATATACAAATGTGTATCCGAGGGTGAGGTATTTCATGCAGGTATTATGGCTGTGTTTTGGACCTTAATTTTTCGTTTCCGTGATTGTTATCAGCCTTGTAAGGTTTAGAAAACATTTGTAAATTTGGTCAATGTTCAAGTGTGTATTTTCTTTTGCCTGCCAGTTTATATAACTATGATATCGTAACGACTAACGTCTCAGTACACCGAATGATCCTTTCCTACCCGAAGTGAATGTATCCGAAAAATCTGTTGCAACATATATGAGAAACCGTTGACCCATTTAGGTCACACGGTGAAGGCTCTTTGACAGTGATATGATACACACATAATATCAGAGTATTTAATCAAAACCCTGGCCCGATATGAAGAGACGGATTACGCTGTATATTTCAGCACTCTTCAAACTACAGCACGGCATGCAGACATGTTATACCAACCCTAGCGGCCCTGCTGCCTGATTGAGCACTGCAAATAGAAAAACTATCACCAGCGCTTACAGTAGAAAAGTTAGAAAACTGAGGATTAATACCATGAAACAGAGCTGTCGTGGGTCCCATCACCCACAAGTAACAATCAAACATAGGGCATTATTGGCCTTGTTTCCAGGCAGTTCTGATGGATGTACCGTGCCGAGGTCCATTGTTTACACGACTTTCTTTCCACTTACAGCACAATGCGTGGACGTAATGAATATTTAACAATCGAGGGTTGGCAGGATTATTGCGGACGGTAAAAGGAACAGGGATTAGTTAATTTCTAAGACGTTTTTCACCAAGTTGACGACGGTAATCCCCCTATTGGAATCGCCGGACCAGACATAACTGGTAGATGGAAAAGCGGATCGGTGGATCAGTAAGGGATCCTAACCTGCAGTGATTGGGATTGTATAAACCTATCAGACTGCGCGCGAGCAGTCCCGCAGAGAGACGGGCCAAGTCTACAGCCGACTGGATAGGAACGCCAGCACTAGGCACGGGTCTATCAAAGGGATATTCTTCAATTTAATGGAGTCTGTTGGACACTAGTTAACCGCCTGGCGTTTTATCGGGCGTGTCGGGAATCACTGCGTTTACTTATGTAGGAGTGAATAATTATTTTTGAATTTTATCAAAATTATTTTCATTTAAAAAATATATTCAAAAAGTGAATGTGAATCAGATAGCATGCAGGTGACGTCGGAACGTATTCAAATTTAAATCCACATCGGACTCCAGGAGACAAAGTCTATCACAAAGTCATTTGTGTTCATTTTTGACAAATCCACCAGGAGACTACTATGTGAAGTAGACATTTAAGTGTTTGTTATTCCCGAGGACGCAGGAACACATTCCGTTAGCTGCTTCCAAAGGTTGTAAAGAACGTTTCAACATTAGAGATTCACACAGTCTTCCCCCCGCTGTATCAGTACCGAGATGTCCAGCTCGCCCGATCCCCTGCAGCGAGGGCCAGAGTCGGAGGATGGCACCGTGGTCACTGAGCCGGTCAGCAAGGCTGGGTCTAAACGATCTCATGTAAGCATTATCGACAACACTTGAAACTGTTACCTTTTAACAATTATTTTCTGTATGTAAAAACATGTCTCATAGTGCTGGTGAATCTGATGGGGCGATGGGGTAGCCTAGTGGTTATAGCTTTCGCTCTCCACGCCGAAGACCCGGGTTCGATTGGCCACATGGGTACAATGTGTGAAACCTATATATTGGTTGTTAGCACTAAATAACTGGTTCCAGTAACTGGAGATTCAGGTCATGAATTAACGACTGTAAATTAGCTGTAAATACGACCAGTTCTAGCACTTAAACCCTATTATATACAATCAGCGGCTTGCAAGCACGCAAAGTCCGCATCATATGTCATTTCATGACTGCGTTTTTTTCTAAAATGTTGTTTGATCATTACCGTTCTATGTAATATACTATCGCTGTGATTTAGAAGTGATTACAATCACATTTACCTAATATTTGCTTTCATTGTTCTACCCTCTGTTGTATCAAGTAAAGCTATTTGGATTGATATTGTTTTCCTGTCTAAACCCAAGCATTTTGTAACATGTAGTATTAAATCTATTGAATTATATAAATGTAGGCAATTAAACCTTTCAATCATCCATCTTAAAAATTCATCTATGAGATAAACGTGTAAGAAACTATTATATAATTTTATACCATAATTTATGTACGTGCAACAACACATTTCGACAAGGATAAAAGAAACATTTCTATTACAAATAGACATTATAAACGTTATCAATCTGTCTTAGTAACAAAGTATTCAGTGTAATTACAAAACCAGTTTCGAATCTCCGCTTATATAGATTCCAAGGCTCAGAGGGCAACAATGTGATGTCACCTGGTGTTTGCAAAATGGTTAAACATGTCCCGCTCAATTAATTAGATCTTAAATATCGGTGTCACTTATTGTAAAAACTAATCCGTTCTTTATGCTCGCTCGCTTCTACACAGACATCGTCCGTCTTCAGCAAGGCATCGTCGTGGGTAGTATACGGCAGCCCCTTGTGGCATAGAGACCGTGTCCCCTCCAGCGTCCGGTCCCTCCCGCCCATTCCGATTCTGAAGGGTCTGGAGGAAAACTTCGTCAACGACAGCGTCAAGACAACGACGTCCAGCCGCTCGGGGAGGAATCCCATCATCCCCCAATACAACGCCGTGGGGGACAAATACGCCAAGCACTACTTCATGTCCCCGAATGTCCGCGCCATGATGGAGAGAAACAAGGCCGTCAGGTCACACAAGGTCAGTCTCGTCTGCAGTATTAACCTTCCGCCCGTCAACATCCGGGTTAGAAGTTGTCTTCCGCAACCATGCTTGTTCGAGGAGACGACAAACGGGATCGGGGTCAGGCTCACTGACTTGATTGATGGTTGTATCGATGTTCATGATGTTATTCACTGCATTGTCTGGTCCACAGTGGATTATTTCCAGACTACCGCCCTATAACACGAATATTGTTTAGTACGACTTTAAACAACAAACATACTGAACAAAAGAACTTTTCACAAATGTGATCGAATCAATCGTTTGAGGGTCTGCTGAGAGTTCATAATTTATGGCTAGGGGGGATGATGATAAGCATGTACAATGTGAGTAACCCCCCTAAAATGTATGTAAAAAGTAAGTGCCTCCTCCCACCCCACCCACCCCGTTCCCTCATGTCATGTACAAACTCAATTAACCCCTCCAGGTGATTGATGACAAAATTGATGACCCCCACCCACCTCCCCAGAACAGAAAACTAATTACCTGTGTGTAAAGATATAGTTTTCCAAATTACTGTTTGATTGCTAGAACCTTCGAACCTATTTGTGCCGTTCCTGCATGCCTTTCAAGTGCGTATTTTAAAAAATCAATGCTATCGTTTACTGCTTATTTACGGCGACCTGAATCGCCCTCAGCCCTACATCGCCCCTTAAAGTTCGAGGCCCGGATGTCTCTGAAATATTCAGTGAGGAGTATATATCTGAATTGGCATGCACCTGCAATTAAACGTCACTCGACGCTCTTCGTCTCACTACGATACACTCCAACCTCAGTGTCATCGAATGAGTCGCCTATTTTAAAACGTTCATAAATAATTAGGCTCACGAACTGTAGCGACCTGTTGTGTATCCCAAGGAGCTGTTAAAAGGGAATTAAATGTGTACATGCTGATTAATACTGCATGGTTGCTTCGGAGGTTGAAAGACCTTCAGCTGAAGGATCGGTTTGGTTTGGTTTAACGCCGCACTCAACAATATTCCAGCTATATGGGTCATACGATGACACGCGTCAACCAAGTCAGCGAGTCTGACCACCCAATCCCGTTAGTCGCCTCTTACGGGAAGCATGGGTTACTGAAGACAGACCAAATTATTCCAATCACGGGTTTCAACTAAAGGATCGGTTCAGGTTTCAGGTTTAAATCGAGGCGTTTGCGTGTGTGTGTGTGCGTGCGTGCGTGTGCGTGCGTATTAGTCCAGACAAATGCTGGTGTTATAGAGCTAGTCCACTGACACATCGTACCGCAGGTTCACCGTGATACGGGACGGTGGGCTAGCCTAGTATTTATAGCGTTCGTTCGTCACGCCGAAGAACCGAGTTCGATTCCCCACATGGGTACAATGTGTAAAGTCCATTTCTGGTGTCCCCGCCTTGATATTGCTGGAATGTTGCTAAAAGCTGTGTAAAAACTAAACTCACTCACTCACATTGATACCCGACATAGACACAGCAAACTGACTCCGAACCTTGTTTAATCCCCTGGATGCCGTATGCAACAACAAGTATCATGGTATTGTACAGCCAGCCTTCCATTCCCTGGGCAGACACTCTACCCGTTAGACCAAGGTGACGGTCAAATGTAACGACGTCCACGAGGGTGTACGACAGAGCTGTATGGTGATCCTTCCTTTTTACCAGTTGTGTGAGGGACGTGTAGACTGAGCCTAGAGGAAGGTGTATGGTATATGTTCTATATCCCCAACACAAATAACCTTGCAATCATAAGTGCATAAGAGTTTTCTCAGCGGCAATATTTCAGTGGCAATACCTCATTTTGACGTTACTCCCTAAAAACAATGGACATTCCATCAAACAGTCCAGTCAGGTTCTAATGACGATGCTGGTGTCCCCCGCCGTGATATTGCTGGAATATTGCTAAAAGCGGCGTAAAACCAAACTCAGTCAGTCAGGCTTATGACGATGCTGGAAGTCCATTGGTGGAAGCGTTGACGCGTCATGCCTGGATCCGATTCGGCACATGGGTTCTATGTGTGAAGACCAGTTCTGACATGCCCGTCGAGATATTTCTGAAATATGTCTAAAAGTCGACTTAACCACACGTTAATTCTAAAGCCGCCATCTCCATAAACGATACAGTCTTACCAATAACCACCCTCTCCTGAGACAGATTATAACTATTCATATCCCAGAGAAGTTATAAAGAGAGTTGTTTTCTATGCAAAATTGAATAATGTGGTTACATTCTCAAGGCATTCGTTATAACGGTGGACTGTATTCAACTTCAGTAAGACTAATTATGACTGCTGTCAATAACTGGTCCTCTGGTGGTAGTCGGTGTTGTAACTGTGCGGGACACCACCGAGGCCCGCCTTTGTGTGTCAGACAGAAGCCGTATAACTGCTGCCATTATGTGATATATTGTTAAAATGGGTATCACGTGTGTATAACAACACATGCAGGTGCTCGCTCTCTAATAGTAAACATTGCTATATTTAATGGAGTCATGCTATTTGTTACACGTTTGATTCCTACCCTGTAATCTGTATTGTACCGACAATCTAGTGTAACTAACGTAGTCCTCTATTGCTGTGCAGCTGTTTGCATGTCGAATACTCATTTCACTGAATTGTTAAATGAACTGGACATATGTCCAAACAATATGGGATCTCAGAGTGTATTAGGTTCAAAATATTGCCACACAGGGACTCCGTTACATATGTTAAAATAATTCAGAAAATAATATCTATTCACAATATGTAACAATTCAGGAGAGAGCAATTAACAAAATTCGTAGCCGAGTGCGAACATCAGACCCATCAGAAGCGCTCGTTCAATCAATGAGAGACTGAGAAGGAGTGAGTGAGTGAGTGAAGTTTTACGCCGCTTTTAGCAATATTCCAGCAATATCACGGGGTACGGCTGAGAAGGAACTGAAGCCATATGTTTTTGTGATGAATGTGATATCATGAAGACACAATTTTGTTAAAAATACTCAGAAAAATTCATGATCCCTTAACTTTTCGTTCAGTATGTTTATGTTACTTTCTCCATTAGGATTACGGCTTGTGATCACATTACATGGACCAACAGAAATCTATACCCAACCAAGGCTTGTCATTAAGCGTATTACCGTAATCTGGTATATCAATCTATCGATTCTATTCACTGTTACCATTTTGGCAGTAGTTTCAATGACCCTTATATCCCAGACAGCAAATCGCTTACCTAATGAGGCCTATCGCCTACACTTTAAGTCGGGCCATACAAAGATGTCTCGCACGGTTCGATGGGGTTAAACAACCCACTGCCTCGAACACAAACATCCCTTTCACTTTCCTGATCAATATAATTGTTCCGGTAAGTCGATAACACTTTATAAAACTGTAGTCTGGAGATACACGTATTGCAGTATTTATTACAGATAAGTGTCTGGGTTGTGTCTGGCTGATGTCTTCAATACAATACGACAAGACATGCAGGAGGACTTCTGTTGATTCCGGTAGTTATGGCGAGGGTGCGTCAGCTCTTCACGTCCAATTGGTTCTGTGGTTTTTAAGCTTGACACCCATTGGCTAATCTCCTCGGCTTACGTCTTCAATAGATAGAACTGTCTTAGATTGACACTGGATCACACTTCACAGGGGGTGTGAGATCGGCGTGCGATCGGCAGAATAGAAAATCCACGTTAAAAGAGACAGTCATATGGGATACCTCTTTTGTTGGTCGGACGGTGTGTGAATCAACCCTTGGTTTGGTGTCCATTCCATTGTTATACACCCTGCAGTTTAAGGATTGTATTTATTCCATTTAATCTTTAAAAAAGTACATTTAACAGTGTCTTTGAAAATGTCCTCCACTGAACGAGCGAAGAGCCATAAAAAGAGAGATAAAGATTCCGCACAATGCAACATGGAGGGCTATATTCAACAACTAGAAGAAATATACGGCAGAAAATTAACTGGGGAAATGGAGGCTGCAATTGCGCTGTTCAAGGTAAAACAGATTGTAAAACAGATTTTAGAGAACCCGTTGAACTATAAGTGAACTTTGTACCATTACATTCCTGTATGTTCCCCAGGGAGCTGGGAATGAAAGTCGAGTGCATACCATTTATACACCTCTCAGTAATATCTTTCAGCACGTCCTTGAGGGGTGTGGAATATGGCGTCATAAATAGGGTTTATTGTATTACTATAGAATATTACAGTAGAACGTGAGATTGTTATATATGGTGATAATATAGTAATATTTACATGCATAAGTAATTTGGATAAAGTATGCCGGCCATTATTCGGAGTTAAAGTGATATTTTGACGTATGTGCAGACCATTACATAGCTATATAACTGAAGTGAGCTATTCATAGTCATATTCTCAGGAAGCATTTCATACAGGCATACAAATCAGGCTGTATGATCAGCGTACAATGTAATACCACTCAGTCATGTCTAGTCTAGGTCAGGTCAGGTCAAAGGCCAACCTTGACATCGATTACAAACTGTATCATACTTGTAGTGTACATCTCTGGTGACATTTATTGGCTGAAGAACACCCGTGATACTTTAGTGTCCGTAAATTCACAGTTGAAATTACTTACTATATTTACCTGGTATCTGTTCCCATCCGGTGATTTCAATTTAGGGGGAAATGAAAACCTATGTTAAAACTTGTGAAATGTTGTCTTGTTTGTACCCGCCACAAAATACTTAAGATTTGTTATGTTAAAATACTGCTCTATTTTGGAGGAAACTGGACTTCCTGCTACAATAGGGACACACAGGTGACAAATCGATTAAGCTGGTATGTTCAGTGGCAAAATCATGCGGGTCAATATAGATATATAATGTTCTTAGAAGAATGTTTGGTGCCCATGCCATGTTCAGGTGTCTGACTCACACCCGTCTCCATGGTCACACCACGTTCATCTGTCTGCATAATTCTGAATCACACAAACCACTGTATAATCCTGCATCACACCCGTCTCCATGGTCACACCCCGTTCAGTTGTTTGTATAA